ATTACATGTAAAAAAAAGTTGTTTAGTATGTGATAAAGAATTAGACTTGGAGCAAATGCAAAGTGTTTTGTTTTGTAATTTAAAGAGTTGGTCTAATTTTGTTGTTGCTGTCCTAACCCATGGACATAATTGTTGGTGTTTGTTTGTTACAGTACCCAATACCAAATTACAGTACGATAAATAAGGAAGAACCATTGTGTTTAAAGAAAATAAAATGTTAGATGGTAAGCTATGCTGGAGTACGCCTACAATAGTGAATACAATCCAATCAAAACAATTTTATTGAACAGGTTTTTTAAGTATTACATTAAATATTGATTATAATTACATCCTCCAGATAGTCCATTACTCAGAACAGGGGTCACCTGTCTCTTATACACATCTAGATGTGTATAAGAGACAGCATCTCTATCAGCGCTGCATTCTTTCGGATCGACGATTCGAAAAAGTAACTAAGTCCGAAAGTGTATGTACTGCGCATGACTGGACTACACAGGCAAAGCTCCCCAGTGGAAAAAACAAAAAGGATTTAAAATGTATGGCTCACATGGCTCGCTGGCTCGCGCATTGGCTCGCATGACTCGCTAGATCGCACTTTGTCACGACTCCAGAGGAGTACCCTTTTTAAAAAAACACAGGTAAACGTACACAGAGGCACGCAGATAAAGAAAGCACTTTGTCAATAAACAGTGTATGTGCCCCCCCCCCATCCCCCTCTTCTGCATTCACCCCTGGAATCCATGTAAAGAGACAAAGGAATTTATTTATTAAGAACGGACACGTTCTCTGTGATATCATGCTGTTTGAGTCAGGTGTACATCACGCACTCATGCTTAGTGGATTCGCATGTCTAATTCAAATTATATCTTAACATTTCAGTTATTTACTACCAAGATGTCAGACGATCAGGTACGCGTAATGTTATGGATGGTTCCACGCAGTCTTGCAACGGCAGTTCTGAGGTCCATGTCCAATCTTGACAACGTCAAACTTATCAACGAGCCATTCGTCTGCGCGGCGTCTCTAGGCCCTGATCGCGTGACAAGTTGGAATGATGAAGCCATCAAAATCCTCGACAAGACCCTGGAGTCTTTGGATGAAGACGCTGGTGACCATAAGCAGTACACTTTCAGTTGGGTGAAAGAATCTCTGTTAGAAGCTCCTTATACAGGAAAGGATGTGGTATTTTGTAAAGACACTTCGGCTTCTCTTGTAGGAAAACTTGATTGTATTCCAAAAGGCTATCGTCACACCTTCATCATACGTCACCCAAACAAGGTTTACAAGTCATGGAAGGATGTTGTGACCAAATTAGCAGCTGGTGAACAGGAATCCCTAGGTCTAGACACCATGTTGAAAATGTCTGGCGCTGAGGGATATGGTTACGAGGAGCATTATAAATTATATGAGCATGTTATATCGATGGGGATTGAAACTGATCCTGTTATCATTGACGCAGACGACCTACAAACCAACCCGGAAGGAACGCTTCGAAAGTACTGCGAGGCTGTCGGCATCAAATACTCTGACAAACTTTTGTCGTGGGCAGCCAATCAAGATGCGGCCGAGGATTGGTCGATGGCCAAACTTCAGCTAAAGGGTCACAAGTTGGTGGGTACATACACAGCAGCGTTTGAGAGTGTAGGCTTCAAAAAAGCCGACAAGATAGACCCACCAGCCCGCTCCGAGCTTTCAGATGATATATTGAAATGCGTGGATTATGCAATGCCTTTCTACGAGAAAATGCTTGCCAAAAAATTATCTCCATAGATAACAGTATCCATTTTGTACGAATTTCCTGCACTTAATAAATTAAGTGTTGCATGTGTTATGTATCCAAAATAATACTATCATATTATGAATATTCATGTTTGCCATTATGAAAGCATTATATTGTTAAAAATACGTTTGTATCAATAAATAGTGAAACTGAAATGCTAATGATTAATATACAAACAAAGATCATGCATGACATATCGTTTTAATGAGGCATAGAATAACCTAAGCTAGAATATAAAGTAATTTCATTTTTATAATTTAAAATATTATATATCTAAATGCTATGTTTAATTCTGGCTGGATTTTTTTTCATTATCTAGCAGTTTTTCATTAATTATAAAAAAAAATCCAAAATTGTATAAAACTTATCTTTGAAGAATTGTTATTATTTTACTTTGTGTTATTTTCAATATGTGCAATATTACATTATTTTGCTTTAAATAATTATGGGTCTGAATAGGCCTACAGTAAAAAATAGTAGAATCTATCAATTTTGAAGCGCGCCCGTTGTAAATGGCTTGTCAAAAGGTTATCTATATTGTACTTTGAAAATATATAATGCGATTTCACGGCCGTAAGGAGAGCCTCGGGACGCATTTGTGATTTTCAAATAGATGGACTTTGATAATTGTGACTAAAATGATATGCGTTTCCTGGTGCCAAATAAGGTCAAAGGCAATATACTAAACCGTTAAAAGCATGTTATTGAAATTTAATTGTTCGGAGCTTCTTAAATTAAAGGTATCTAATTAGCTGACTCGTTGTTTTATTAGATGAGTTACTGTGGTTGACTGATTTTCAATTGATTTATTAGATGACGAATTGGGTATGTTTTAGTACGAGAGCAAACCTCATTTGATATCTTTCACGACTTTCTTACGACTACCGTCCGACGAATGTTCGCAAGAATCGGAGTGCATATGGCAGGATGTGGCCGTTATAGAGCCACTTAGCGAAAACTTACCAGCTGGATAATCGGGCTTTATATGCCATTAGTTGATTTAAATAAATTCCTAGAAGACAGGATAAATTAGTCTAAAGTAGTTTTCTTCGTTCACTTAAACCAAAGTACTACCCGCTGAGGATAAGTTATGCCTAAGCATCTTGTTATTCAACGCAAATTCATTTGTCAGTGTTCTTGTCCATTTGTTTAAATTTATTACATTTGGGCTAATACTTTTGGCCTTGTTTTGCGTAATAGCGAAAACTATACGAAACGAATTATACTGGAACATATATATATATATATATATCTGTCTCTTATACACATCTAGATGTGTATAAGAGACAGGGATATATATATATATATGCACAAAACGATATATATATATATATTTATATTATAAATTTGTCAAAACTGCCTTATATTTTTTCTCATTTTGGACAGCGCCACCAACGAACGAGTTAATTTTGAACGAAGTTATTCCACGGTCTTAGTCGCCTCATGCATAATATAAACTCATTAGCCGTCACGCTACACTGAGTTCGTTCATGAATATTTATATTCGTCTTGATGTCCAGCAACAAATCTAGGCCAGCTTATTAGGCCTAGATGTGGTCTCTTTCTCGTACCGTAGGCTTTTCTAGGTTTGGCTTGCACTACCTCTAACTCTGAATATACTACTAGGCCTACATTGACGTCCCCTAAGCCTAGGACTAATTCCTCTTCCTCTTGTTTACTCATTTTCTCTTTCACATCCAAACCTTTCTCGTCAACGGTATTATCTACACGGCAAATCTTTTGAGCAACAAAATACTAACCTAGGCTAGACCCGATGGCACCGCACTTGCCTATTATAGAAATAATAATAATAATAAAAATGTGCAGTTTGCCGAGAAGTTCCAGTTGATTATAAATATTCATGACAGTTAATAAGTTTACATTATGCATGAGGCGACTGAGACCGAGGAAGAAGAGACTACCGTTTTGAACAAAGATTTTATAAGAGGCCAATTTGGAGACATGGTATAAGGGGGAAAAGCAAGAAATAGAAATAGAGTGTGGGACTCCAAATAAACTCGGTTTGGCGCGCAATAAAAGGATTATATTTTACCATTCACTGAGTAGCCAAAATTTAGGGCCTGGAACCCAGGCTAGCTCGTTTTACAGTACCTGAACATTACCATAAATGTTCACAGAATAGGCAGTTTTCGCCGCACAACGTTAACCTTAACTTTAACGTTAGTACCCAACATGCAGCGCGATAGCTCCGCCCCTTTTGTAAACAAATCGAAATACGCATGCGCAAACCCGTAACTAACGTACGTCGAGCACGTACAATCCTGAAATTAACGTACTCCGCAACGCAAGATGAATAAATTATGACGTCATCCGTTAACGTTAAGGTTACCGTCGTGCGGCGAAAACTTCCTAATTTCAGGATTGTACGGTACGTGTTTACGTACGTTAGTTACGGGTTTGCGCATGCGTATTTCGATTTGTTTACAAAAGGGGAGGAGCTATCGCACTGCATGTTGGGTATAACGTTAGGTTAACGTCGTGCAGCGAAAACTACCTATTAATGTATATGTTTGCCCTCTAATTTTAGACCACATTTGAGATTGGAAAATTTAGGGTAATCTTGGGGTTCAATCGATTAGAAAATAGGGGATATATTTGTAATTGAATATATCAGTTGGTATCAAAATTAGAGTGGTTTCGAATTGGAAGGCTGCATTCGTATTCATCTATGATTAAAATAGTACAAATCCTATCATGCGCTTAATTAATAAACTATTTATTTAAAGAAACGTTTAACGTCAACAAGGGCTTTATACTTATAAAATAAAACCGTTATTACTTACCCTTTACTAAAATACAAACAGATAGTTTTAATTCGGGCACTCCCTGTACGAACGACGGTCATGACTGTTGTACAACGACTCCAACTATGTTGCCTGTGGGCGCTTCCTGTATACGACGCGACGTCGTCTGCTGATTGTCAGTAGCAGTCTGAACGGATCGTTATTTAAAACGATCCGTTGCGCGCGCGCCGTCGTGTTGCGTTGTTCTCCATAGAATCGCAACGGCCGGCAACTGTCGGGCGCTGTTATCAGGCAAAGACAATATTTCATTATTCTAATTTCTAATAGGAAGTTAATGATTTTTAGCATTATTATTTTAAAGCATAAAAAATCCCAAAGAGTAAAATGACGAATCATATTAAGGACGAATCTCGGTAGGGTAACGAGAAAATGAATAATAGTATTAGCTCCAGAACAAACAAATTTGCACTCTTTCCTTTAAATAAATCCGATTAGAAGGAATGCCGTAATTGATGAGTATTTAAATAGTACATTAAAGACGCATCATATGGTTTTGAGTTTTATATTTGTGTAAATTTAATCGCAATTTTACTACATTAATAATCTAATGACAAGGAGTTCTAAATCTTCACACGGAGCTTTTGAGATCTCTACAATGAATAAAGAATATATATATATCGAGAGTCAAGACTATAAGCACTCTGGACTGAAGTCGTCGCATTCGCAGATTGCGCAGATTAGAGAATACCGGTAAATAAAGCTCAGTTTCCATACGATCGCTACACAGTCGATACAGCGTTTCACAATCCTTGCACTGCGTAGCTGTCCCCGACGCAATCCGGAACGCTCCCTTATTCAACTGACCAATCAGCGTCGCCAAAGGAGTCGGCGATATGCGTATATGTGTGTGTGTGGGGGTGTATGTGTGGGAGGTGTGTGTGTATGTATTTATATTTATAAAAGAAACAATAGTCAGCCATTATGGACTGACCCTGTGCTGTGCTGTGTACATATGTTTATACATGAAATCTAAAAATAAATATGGGTGTAATTCCCACGAAGGTTAAGGATGTATTGTCACTTGCTAATGTCAAAAAATCATAAAAAAATAATTTTGAAATAAACTTGCTCATATTGCAATAGCATACAAATTATTAACTTGTGCATAAAAATTATTGAATTTTAAAAATGTGTACCATGATTTTTAAACCAAAAAATTATAATTTTTTTTATTTGTTTTGGTTGTCTTTTTTTTACAAAAAGTAAAATAAAATGGTACCAAAAAGAGAAAGAAACAAAGGTAAGTGAAATCCCACAAAAGAAATAAAAAAGAATATACGTACAAACACGAATTTACAATGAAAAAGAAAAGGAAACGGATAAAGGAACGGACCAATTAAATTAACATAGAACCTTGGGCACGTATGAGTTCTAAAACGATGCTTGATGCTAAATCAAGTGCAATGAAGATGACATCCTATTTTGCGCAATTTTGATTTTCTAGGAAATCCATGGGTTATTTTAGGCCATTTACAAGAATGAACTACCCGGAACTATACGATGCATAGCTTTATCATTGGAGTAGGCCTACATCATATTTACAGGTCTCCCTCCAACTAAAGACCACTTTTGGGTGCTGGGTTTTGTCTTCAGCAGGCTTAGTCTCTAATTAGGATCCACCTAATTAAAGACCGGCACTAAAAGTGGTCTTAAATATCTCTATCTAAAGGGAAAATAAGAAATAATAATATAAGAAATATAAGATCGTTTTATTCTTACCATTTCTGAGTATTTACACATCAAGTTCTGCACTCGTTGTGGTACCAACTGTCCATTACAATTACTGTACTAACAATTACATCATACTACTAAAAACTACCATTAGGCCTTTAGGCCTCTTCGGTAGAGCATTGTACACAAAACATCATCCTATGTTGTGTATATTATTTTGATGTGTATTTTCATATCATCATCATTATTTTAAAAACTGCATTAAAGTCACTATATATTGTATTCTTTATTTAAAAGGGTTTTTAGCTCCCATGAGGAGCTCTAGGAGTACCTGGCTGATTGACTGTGCTTTTTTGTTGATTGACTGTGCTTTTTTAAGAGAAAATAAATAACGGGCTCGTCCAGGAATCGAACGAACCACACCCCAACCTACTTTCATGCCTCTCAGACCAAAGAGCCATTGCAATGTATAATTTTGAAGGAGCTCTAGGCGTACTCGGCTAACTGATAGATGTTTTTGCTGACTGACGAATGGAACCAGGTCGCTCTTACAGCCTAAGCCACATTCATGTCCAGGGGTGGATCCAGGATTTGAGAGAGAGAGGGGTGGGGGGTTAAAATGTTCCAAAAGCCGAAAACGAAAGGGGTGTCCGGGGGTTCTCCCCCGGTAAAATTTTGATTCCTAGATGGCCGGAAATGAGCTTTCCCGACTTCTGAGTTGTCTTTTAATAACCTTTAATTTATTCAAAATTCGAGGTTTTCCCTCTCTTCCTTTCCTTTTATCTCATTCTTAGACCTATACATAGAGAGAGAAAAAAAACAAAGACAAAGGCAATATATTATTATATTCCAACAATATTGAGTAGGCCCAGTTGGATAAGTAGTCTTTCTTCCATGAATTAACGAACCGATAGGCCTGAAGAACGTACTTTCGTGTATAAATTAGTACGACGTCGAACCAAAACAGTGTTTTTAATATTTATTTAATTGAAGGCTAGTTGGGCTAAGCCTAATTTGTTCGATCTGTTACATGACTATGCCTAATTGGTAGGTTAGCATGCCTTTTGAAAGCTATAGGACCAGAAGTATTTTGTTTTTTCTTCACAGAGGGGGGTTTCTTCCGAACCCACTAACCCCCCCCCCCTACCCCTGGATCCGCCAGTGATGTCTCTAGACCAAAGAGCCATTGCACTGTATAATTTGGAAGGAGCTGTAGTAATACTCGACTGACTGATAGATCTTTTTTGCTGATTGATTAAT